CAACGTGTTATCTCGTTGGGAAATGGAGAAGACATCAATGATTTCAGCAGGTTATGACAGGAGGAATAATCTGGAATTATCAATTTCAGTGTCTTTGTTGAGTCCCAGAATCCAGTCTGTTCCTCATTCACAGGAGCTTCTGAGCCTCCTTTCTATGCTTCCTGATGGCCTTTCAGATCTCGAGCTTGTGCAGAGCAAACTCCCAATTGAGAATATTCTTGGGTGTAAAGCAGCCTTGATTCGCACCAGTTTGGCATACAGCGATGAACATAAAAGACTCAAAGCCTTGGTGCCCATCAGGGAATACATGCAGAAGATGCAGCCACCTAGTGATAACCTCACCCAGCCTCTTCTCAGGCATTTCCACCAGTTACTTGAGTTGTATGTGAAATACCATGGTACACAATCAAGATCAAACGTGATTGCTCGAATTTCATCAAATCTGGCTAACATCCACAACATACGTCAGCATGGGCTCCAACCAGGGCATCCAGACTTGGCGGACACAGTTGATTGCGCACGTCGTTTGAACAGTGTCAGCAAGGGAATTGGCAGGGGCTGTATTCCTTTCATTAGCAGAATTCAAACCATGCTTCCCAAACTCGATGACCATCGAGTTAGGGTTCTTTTCATTGCTGAGTTGTTGGACACACGGCATTACCATCCAATTCCCAACCCAGAGGAGCTGGTTTCAAGTGCTATGGGACAAATTGAGAATATCAATGATGCAGCCATAAAATGTATGCTCGGATTGATACCAGTTGTCACATATATTGATCTGTTCTAGGGACATTCTACAGTTCATTGGCACACTATCATATGGAGTGCAACAACCTTCCTGCAGCCATCAACATTTGTCATACTCTTATATCGCTAGCAATTTCGACCAGGAATATCAAAAGATATGCAAAAAGATTATACGACCTTGCATTTACCAAGTATCACCTCGGTGATTATTATGCAGCCCAGAGACATGCTTATAAATCACAGCAGTTGTGCAGAAGTGCTGGAAACTTGTTTATGGAAGCCAATGCCCTTCGTATTGGAGCAATTTGCTGGAGCGAACTTGGCAACTACAGGTATAGCATTTCTCTGTGCTGCAGGGCAAGAGACCTGTTAGGGCTTTGTGCCTTGTCAGGTGGTGATTTGGACCATCGGATTATGACTGCGCAAAGCGTGACTCACGGATTGAAATCAGAGTATCTTGAGTCCCATAATATCTTTACTGAGATTATTCGAGAGGCCCCTGTTGACCAAGATCCTTATCATCATGCTTATGCATTGCTCAATATCGCTGGAACTGAAGTGTGGCTGGGTGGACCTGCACAAGATGTGCAAACCAACATTGAAACAGCGAAAAGAATATTCGGCACTATGGGACTTGTCTTGGAACTCGGTCAATGTGATACTATTCTTGCAGATCTGCATCTGAGAGAGGGAAACAGACTCCTTGCAAAGAGCCTCTTTGAAAAATCACTAAAATTGTCCCGTGGGGACCCACAAATGGTGTCATACTGTTTGGAGAACCTCGGTAATATCAGTCGCTGGGATAACATGCATTGGATGTCCAGTTGGACAGTTGTGTTCCTGGCTCATTCCTCCAAGTTCAAACAGAAGCTTGGAGTGCTGAAAGCTCTTCAGTCACTGGGAGATATCTTGCTTGCTGAGGGGGATACATCTACAGCTATCACATTGTTTACAGTTGCCTTGGATGGGTTCGCCTTGATGGATGTCCATCACAGTAGAGCCGAGTGTATGCTCCGCCTTGGGGATATTCACAAGAAACAAGGAAACATGTTGAAAGCAGTAGACTATTGGACAACAGCAAAACCTCTGTTTGAGCGGTCATCACAGGTGGATCGGGTTAAACATGTCGATCAAAGGCTGGCTGAGACCAGTGTGGAAGTGGTGGTGCAGCACCAGTCCAACTTGGCTTATCTGGCAATGCTCAATACACCATCCGAGATCATGGATGACCAGGGTGACCTATCGGAGATAGAAATGGAAGGGCTAGGTTTGGATGATGAGGCTGAGCTTGATCCAGTTTTGGTCTGAATGTGGAGAGGAGGGCGACTTTGATGTATGCGATCATCCTGTAATAGTTTAACCATTTTCCTTACAATTTAACCATATGTCTGAGGTTCAATGCAAATGAAGCCTTGCAATAGAAATGAGATTTTGTACTGGCACTATACAGGAAACACGCAGCAAGTTGACAAAATACAGGAAATATGATTCTCGCGTTAGCACGGTGCAGAGAAAAAAAAAACAGTGCGGACGGAAACAGTAACTAGGCGCAAAGGCTTTTTGGAAAGCTCGATGAGACGGTAGGTAGATGCGAGGCTCCAAACAAGATCGTAGGCAGATGCAAGGCTTCAAAACCCATTTCTGGTGCAGGACTTGTCGAGACCCCCGTAAAGACTCCTTCTGTCGAGAACAAAACCGACAGACGGGGAGGGACAACGAAGAGGGTACGGCGGGAACTCCCAAACGACACCAACCAGCACCATTGTCATTGTTATCATTCTTGTATGGGTCAGCGGTGCTGATGCAGTGAAGCGCAGAACACAAGTGGCGTGCCGCAGTGTCTTGAAGCTAGGAAACAAGTACAAGCTATCCCAAATGCAAGAATGGCGTCGAGAATGTACAGCGAAGGATAAAATAGAGAAACTGTAGTTTGAGCGTGAGGCTGAAAAAGGATACCGGAGCATGGAAGGACTCGGCTCTGAACCGAACAGATTTCTGCTCCTTTAGACCTATCGACGCCATCGATGCGTTGCAGACGCGAGCCATCCGCGACCGAGTCGGTGAACACTTCAAAACAAATGTGCCAATACATTTATGTGGTATGCAGAGCGTTTGTCTTACGCTAAATTTCTGTCATTCATCATGTAGCGACATTGAGCATAGAGCTGACCCCAGGTGTGGCCAAAGGGGGGATTCGAGAGTGAGGCGAGGACCGCATCTCAATTCCCTGAGGTCGCGAGACCCCTCGCTCATCTGCGAGTGCAGGGGGTTCCAAGGCACGAGCTGGAGGGCGTCGGAGTCACTATTCGACGTCATTTGCAGGAGCACTTGGACAGGTCGATGGATGTGAGAGGATGAGACCTTGACAAGAGAGGTCTTTCGAACGGCAAACTCGGCGCAGGTGCTGTTGAAAACTCGATTTGAACCAAAATTCTTTTCCCGTTGAAAAGACTGGCTGTTGCGAACAGCACTTGAATTTCCCTGTGTTAGCGGTAAATAGCGGAGAGGTAAACAAGGGAGACAAGGCAGGGCTCGATGGTGCCGAGTCGAAGTCAAGGTGCGACTTCCCAAAGGGAGATTGTGCTGGGTGAGAGACAGCGTGACGAGGGAGAGCAGTGGATACGTCTGTATGATGCGCAGACACCCGTCGCGCAGAGAGCAGGCAGGACATGTATATTCCTCGAGCACCCAAGCCTACGGTGCACCAAAATGCCTGTCAAACACCTCCACTAACAGGCAGCCGTCGCATACACGCGACTCGTTAGCACCGCATTCTCGTTTCCAGGCGCATCAGGAGGGCGATCAATCTCGAGACACCCGAAGCAGAATTGCCTGGGATGGAGCGCGGTCAGACATCCGTTTGTCCGCGAGATCGCGTGCATCGGTCATACAAATCCACACTACACCACACCCGCCTGGTCCGCATCCGCGTGTATCGCGCCCTCCCGCGGTCATGTAAGAAAGGCAGCGATCTTGCTCATAAACCCGTACTCCCTCATCCCTTTCCTTCCCTCCTAGCTCCCCCGAAAGACACGAGAAAGAAACAAGCGCACTCACCCTCCCCCTCACAAAGATCTAGGTTATTTCCCAAGAGTATACGCGAGACAGGCGTCGGCGTGCGCGCGGACGTCGGCGAGCCAGGTGCGGACGTTGTCGAAGGACCGGCGAGAGGTGACGTCGCGGACGAGGAGGCAGCCTGTGCGCGAGTGCGAGCCTCAGCTTAGTCCAGTACTTGCAGTGGGTATGCAAAAGAGAGGGCAGGAAGGGGAGGATGGAGGAAGGATGGAAAACACGAGAGGGAAGTGAGGGAAAGATGGAACGAAGACACGCACCCCGCAGCCCTCGGATAACACGACCTCGTTATAGATCGAAACAGCTCCTTCCCCGTCGTGACCTAGCATTGGAGCTTGACCACCGTGGCTTCGGGGCCGGGGAGGGCAATCAGTTTGGAGCCGAATTTGACGCCTCGAGCTGCGCGTGTCATCCATTCGCTAGCAGTAGGGACGAAGTCAAAGCGAGTCCTATGCGCCTCGACCCAAGATGGAAAACGAGAGAAAGCAACGAAAGATTCAAACGAGGAAATGACGCCAAGGCAGCGTCGCTGATTGGCCGCGTGCACGTGCTGTGCCGGACAAGTGCCGGAGTGCCGGGATGCCGCTCCTTCAGAAGTTTCTATTTCTCTCTCAAGTCTCTCGGTTTCTCTCGCATCTTCTCTCATTCTTGGGGCAGCAACGTGCCGTAACTTGTCGGTTCGAATGAGCAGGCTCGAGTCGACCAACGTAGCTAAAGTTTGCTCTATGTTTTATTTTCCTCTTGACCGACACTGAAATTCATGCCTCGCCGCTGACCATCTTCTGCGCTAGATTCTGTCCTTGCTGAAATCCACTTGACAAGTAGCTGATTGCAAGCTTTGAGACTGTTCCATGTCAGGTACCTCTCCCCTGTTCGAAGAAGAGGTGTTGGCTCGGTCGCGTTGCGGTAGCGCGTCCACTTCAAATTTCAGCCTCACAATTGATCTTTGGTGGAAGTCGTCAGTTAGGATGTCGTGGGGCTACTGACGTGAGTCTCTTCTTTTTTATTTTTTATTCTATTTTTGCTTTTCCTTAAAATTCCTTCTTCTTCCTTTTTACCTTCATGACGCTGCACTTGCCTCTCATGAACGAGTGCGAGTTTTTTCAAGCTCCAAACCCCTCGGAGTGGATATCTGAATCATTCCACATCCACTTGAACTCTGAGTTGGTATGACTTATATCGGCTCGGTGGCGAAACGTATCGCGTCCACTTCGCATGGTCCACTCTGCCTGAGGTTTCTAAGTGGAGGTTGCCCGTTCGAGCCGGGCCCGAGTCGTGCGTCTTTTCTTCAATTTCCTTGTTTTTTTCCTTGGCCTTCGACCCCCATTTCTGACATGAGTTTCTTCGCTGTTTTTTTCACACTCACGCCAAACTGTTTATGCGGGAAAATCCCGGGGAGGTGTAGGTGGGCGGTTGCGTGAGGCAAGAGCGAAGCTACTTATTGAGTCACTTATCCAGGCTACATTCAGAGGTATGTTATAATGTAGGAGTGAAGTAATTTTCTGCCTTTTGTACTCAGGCCAGATGCAAGATGCACACCGATCAAACATCGTGAGTGGAAGTCGTCTGTTTGAACCGGGCCTGAGTCATAAAATGCCGCCCACAGCGCAATTTATTTTGGGGTTCCTGGCAGGGGAAAGATAAAAGTATGTTTTCGATTGTCTACACCCATGCAAACCTGTTCGGGCGTTTTAAATCAACGTGGGCGCTGAGTGGGGCGGGCCTTCATATAAGTGAAGTCAATTTGTCGAGAATTTTATTCTGTGATGAATTGACTCTAGGTTCCACCTGTGGACCGACTGGCGAAAGGTATCGCATCCACTCCACTTATATTTTTCAGCGTGTTCTGTGATAGGTGGACGTAGCCCGTTCGAACCGGGCCCGAGTCATTGGGTATACACAGCATACTTTTTTTTCTGCTTGGCGAAGGAAGAACAGCATGCGTTTTACTGTTTCGCCCCTGCAAACCTTTTCTGACGTTACAATGAATTTCACATCGGAAAGTGAGGCGAGCCAGTCTATAATACACGACCCAATGAGCCTGCCATTTATTTAGTTTAGATCTAACGGGTAGTGGTAAATGTATCGCGTCCGCTTCACATACTATGTGTTGAAAGCCAACTTGTGAGCGGAAGTCGCCCGTCAGAACCCGGCGCCAGAACTTCATTCGAAGATTTCAATGCCTCGTGAAGTTTAGGTGCAATTTCAAACGAATCAGGAATCCAAGTAGATATTCTTGCTCTTCTCCGACCTGCGTTCTACCACTCGCCAACTCGAATGTCCAGAATTCCGCGTTCCATAAGCTGCGGCATCTTCTCCTCAACCAGCGCCACCCACTCCGTACTACCGTGAACAGGCGGTTCTTCCACAGCCTCAGCTCTGAATACCTTCGATTTGAAGACCGATGTCCATTGAGCTATGGTGGACGAATCGCGGTGCTCGGAAGGCCAGTATACCTGCAGCTCCACCCTCTGCAGCGCAGGCATATCCGCCGAAAGGAGAATGGCCTCTACGTTCGGGAGCTCCATCGCATCCTTGGGTAGGAAAACGTAAAAACAAATTGTGCGAAGAGTCTTTGCGCGGGCAATGGCCTTTACGAGTGGTGCCGTCGCGCCCCAGAGGGTGATGTGCGACAGCGCTGGCAAAGATCCGAGCTCTAAAGACTCCGGATCCACGAGTTCCTCTGCAGTTATGAGATGCGTTATCATTCCAAAAAGTGAAACGCACCTACCTGCACTCCAGAATTCCAAATTTTGGATGGTACGACTCGCGGTCTGGAGGATTTGATATAGTCTCGTGTCCAGAGATGAACAGTCATATTTAAGGTGCGTGAGGTGGGATAAATCGAGGGGAGACACGGAATGTACGATGAAATCGGAGATGCTAGAACTGATGGGCAGCTCAAGGTATGTGATCCGCAAACGGGGGGAGTTGTTTGCGAGCGGAGGATTGTAAAGAGTAGGCGGATCGAACAGCCAAAAACCAACGCTAAAGATGCCGCGGTTGCAGCTCGCTAGAAAGGTGTGTAGGTCGTTTTGGTCCCAGTTTCTATAGAAGGAGAGTTGGTGTAATGTGGGAAGAGAAACAAAGGCCGTGATCAGATCGACGGCCAGCGTTTTCTCCTTATGGCCCCGCACGAAGTGGATTGCAGACAGGTGTGACCAGGGTAAATAGACAATTGGGGCCAGGGTTTCTGCATCACACCTGCCAATCGACAGCTCGCAAATGTAGTGGACAAGATGTGGCGAGCGGGTAAGAATCTTTGCGAGCTGCTTAGCCGCGATTGAGCGAACTGTTTCGGTGGAGATGTGAATGCTGCGAAATAAGAGCATCTGTGCTCGCCCGACAAAGGCCCGGCAGACGAGAGCTGAAGCCAAGAGGGCGCTAGGATAATGAGCGAGACAATCTAAGATTTCGTCCCATAATTCTTGGACGAGCAAGCTAGATGGTGTTACAGCCGTTGTGGGTGATCTGGAGAATCGGTTCTTGAACGGCCCGAAGCGCCTCCGCACGCTCTTGAAGGTAAGATCCATAGGGAAAGGAAGCAAGAGGGATGTGGGCTGCGTCTCATCAGAGCAAATACTGCCAAACAAACCGTAACGATCACTTCGCCAAGCACCTCCACGACCAAGGCGCATCAAGAAGTCGCGGCAGCTTGTCTCGCAAGCCTTCTACATCTCATTCGATATTCCTTACCTCAACTCGGGGCTTCAACCGTAGGAACCTGCGCCCGGACCGTTGAAAAGGACAGTTTCAAGTGAAGATACTTAGATAGCTCTTGTATGACAGCGGTTGAACCACGACCTTACATGTCGGCGGCCGCCCCATCAGGAAAACACAAAGCTGCCCCATAGCCCCTGATAGCTCCCCATAGAAGCCATAGCTGTCATAGCAGAAAACCAACCCCATAGAAAGGTGGGGGGGGGGGGGTCAAATCTATAGCACCCCATAGCACCTCATAGCATGGGTGGAAGCTATCATAGTGCACATAGTCATACTGCTCAGAGTGCTCATAGTACTGTATAGTAGCCCAAGTAGAGTCCCTTCCAAAAAAATATATATATATATATATATCCTGTTTCCTCAAACCAATTCACTTTGTTTCTATTACCTTGACTTAATTCCAAGTAACTAGCTAAGTGGACTAACTTGTTACAGGGCTGAGCACGTAATTAATAATTAAAGGAATGCACCTTGGGGAATCGAACACACGACCTCATGATTACAAATAAAATATGAGGCAGGTCATTTTCATACTAGACTAAATGGCCATTGAAGGTTTTGATATTTGATGATCTATGAGACTACCTTATGCTTCTTCTACCTTTCAACCATGGCTCAACCTCACTACCCTCATAACCTCAATGACAGTATACATTAGGTTCCCTAGTAGTGATAATGATATTGATAGATAATTACAGTGTTAATCTCGTCAACATGGCTGAAAATGGGGTGTATGGGTCAGTTGTCTAAAAATAGACCCCAAACAAAAGTTGTAGAGCTCAATCAGAGCTACAAGATATCTCTAAGGTCATTTTATCTCAAAAGCCTTTGTTAGCCTGTAAAATGCAAAATACTTTTTCAGACGCGGCGGTTTTCAGAAACTCAATGCTTTGAACTCAGCCCAGATTTGCACAAATATTGCCAAAAAGGTGAAATAGGATTCATATTAAGACCTAGCATTGTGCGGAATGCTCGGTGCTACCTATATTTTCTGGGACCTGCTACATAGCACTATATAGTTCCAGCCAGTTACTATAAAGTACTATGTAGTGCTCACTGGACTATTTGATAGACAGCCATAGAATGACATAGCTGTAGCAGTGACTTTCATAGCTCTCCATAGCTTGCCATAGCTTGCCATAGTGTGAAAAAGTCTTATAGCACCTCATAGCACTTCATAGCTTCCCATAAACACCCTCTGGCTATGGGGCCATTTTGGATTTTCCTGATGCCGATAGTCGTCGCGTCGGCTGCTCTCCCGTTGGCTAACTGACCGGACCGGTTCTGAACGTCACACCTTTTGCGGACCGCAGGGATCACAACGCCCTTTCTGCGCCCATTTTGCGCCCATTTTGCGCCCTTTTTACATCGTTTTTCGTGTTTGGCAAATAGTGTGCTATAAAATCCAGAAAAAATCACGCCTATCCTTTTTGAACATTTGAGGTGGTATATGTCCTTTTATGAACGATAGGAGCACCCAGACTGCATGAAATAGAGAAAAAGAGGCAAAAAGGAAGCGAAAAAGGGTGGAAAAAGGGAGACCCAGCCCAGGGTGTTCACAGAAGCCCTTTTTCACACCCTTTTTCGTGCCCTTCTTTTTCCATTTCCCCCAGAATTGCATACAGGACCCCGTTTTTTTCGGTTTTCTACCCTTTTTACACTTCTAATTGAAAAAGGGGAAAAAAACCGAGCAAAAAACGAAGAGAATAACAAAAAGGGCGAGAAAGGGCGAGAAAAAGGGAGCGAAAAAGGGCTACTGTGAACAACCCTATTGACGTATTCACGAGCGAAGGATTTTGAGCCGACTCGCATCCTTAGAGGCAGAGGCTGAGCTGAAGTATCAGCTTTCTGATCTACAGTCTCGCAATGATATTATTATTTTCTCCGGTAAGCTTTAAACTGTGGGGTTGCCAGTGAGCATTCAAGCTTCGCAGCCGCGCCGCGTGAGTTCGACACATTTTGTGTGTCTTTGACAAACCCGTGTGAAATACCGTACCATTTCGTTCAAATCGACAGGGGGTGTGACGCGTGACCGTTTTAATCAATTCGACATTTCGACAACTGCCGAAACTTGCGTGACACCACGGAAATTTTCGACTTTCAGCGCGAAAATTTTCGAAAATCTTGCCTTTTTTACATGCTCTGGACGGTTTGGGGCTCTTGGTCACGCTTGGGAGGTTCGACAAACGGCCGCGTGACACGTGACACCGACCAAAATTCGACATCGCCAGGGGGGGGCGTGACACGTGACTGTCGATCTGAACGAAATGGTACGGTACTGTAGTATTTAAATCACTTTGAATGTCACGCGTCACAGGGCCCAAAATTTTCGAAAACTTTCGAACTTGTCACAGGTCACCGAGGGGATTTTCGAAGTTGCGAAACCAGTCACAAAATCGGCGAAAAAGACTTGAAAAATCCCATTTTTCGCGTGCGCGGCACATACGGGCGTATTTCCGTGTTCGAACCCTCACGCAATTGCGATTTTGACATAATCCAATTAATGCTTCCCCTTTGCATCTGTTCACCACACTGTCTTTCACTAGCGTCACGCCCGTCAGTTTTTTGCAATAGAAAGTTAATGAACACAAAGATAAGGATTCCAACTCTACTTGACTCTTGAGTGCCAGTAGCTCCAGATCCTCACCCTTCTCATTAGTGTCTCCCAAAATCTGCATACCTAACGTTGGCACAGCAAATTTGCTTGCCCACCTGCTCAATTCCTCTGTCACCCGCAATGCCTTACGGCCAGAGGTGCTTTTTTTTTTTGCTAATTTCCAGCTGTTCCACCAATTTCCAACGGATTTTCGAAGTTTTTTTGGATGTCATGGCCAGATCACCACATTTTCGAAGCTCGAAGTTCGAATCTTGCGGTCACAGGTCACAGCTCGGGAGAAGTGATTTAAATACTACAGTACATGCTTGTGGCTGTGCTTTATCGCAATTTTTTCAGGCAGTGACGTGCGGCCAGGAGAGATACTGTTGAAGCCTATCATCCATGCACCTCATCCAAAAGAGATGGTTCATTACTTCGAGTTCGATTGAACTGGCAATGCAAAAGCCTGTACAGCAATGACCGCCTTGGCACACGGGCAATCAATCTGCCGCCTTTGAAGTAAATGCGCCGGGTTTGTGCGAATCTGCGGTGCTTGCGGCAGAATGTGCTGGGCTTGAATAGATGTGCCGTCCGGATTTGGTCCATCCCGTACTGCCAAACAAACAACGACTCTTTGTAAAACACCTCCATGACCAAGGCACATCAAGAAAAGGCGGGAGCTTGGCGCGCAAGCCCTCTGTATACCATTTGAAATTCCCCACCTGCCTCGGAACTTGAAACGTAGGAACCCGAGCCCTTGCTGCGCCCGCACCGTTGAAAAGGACAGTTTCAAGTAAAGATACTTACTTAGATAGCTCTTGTATGACAGCGGTTGAACTACGGGGTTACATGTCGGCGGCCGCACTACAGTCGTCGCGTCGGCTGCTCTCCTCTGTCCAACTCGGTTGGCTGACTGGCCGGGCCTTTTGCGGACCGCAGAGATCACATGGGCTGGCTCCGTCTTATGCTCAATTGTCGGCTGCCATTGGAAGCGTGTAACGAAGAACTTAAATTCCGACCAAGCACGGGAGCACTGACCAGCACTCTTGAAGTTGCCACACCATGATCCAGACGTGGACATTGCTCTTCGCATTTTTGTTGGTCGCCGCCGCCGTACATCTGCCACGCCAAACAAACGATGGTGTCCATCTCGCTATTACGCCTACATGCGGGAAGCTGGGCGGGACTTTCACCAACGCTAATGCTGGGATTGTAACCACTGGCATCAAAACACTCGTCGCTTTCGGGGTATGTTCTGCGCTCGCCATGTCTTCCGTTCCACTGACGGCTGCCTATAGGACTCTTACACGTCAGGTGGGCGCAGCGATGGCGGTACTCTTCCGGCCGCCGTCCTCAATGGCACCAGTCCCCGCGCAGGCGGCCGCGTTACGGACGGGCCGGTCTGGGCTGAAGACGTCGCAAGCGACTTGGGGGCCACGATCAAGGACTACGCCGTGCGCCATTCCTTAAATCGTGCCACGGCACTGCGCTAATGATTTATTAACGCAGGTCTCTGGTGCAGTCGTGGATGTAACCCTTTGGCCAAGCCAAGTAGGCCACTCAGATTTCCTGCATCAAGGTAAGCCACATCACTTCGAAAGTTGTTTGGTCAACGACGAACAATCATAGCTGCTCTCTTCCTCAGCCAAAATAACGTATTGACCCCGGCGACGACGCTCTATACCGTTTTCTTTGGAATCAAGTAAGCAGCAGTACTTTACTCGATAATGATGCTATTGACACATTCGATCCACAGCGACGTCGGTGCTTCTTCAAGTGCGTAGAATGTTTCTTTGCCAGCGCTGCTCACAGGCTGATAATCGTGCATTTGAAGCGGACGGGAACCACCTACCTCAAGCCGCCGCCGAGCTCCTCACGCAAATTAAACAGCTCGCCGCGGCCCCCACAAACGCGAAAAACATTCTCGTGCTGGACGACTACGGACGTGGAGGGCACTCGACCACCGGGGACGCGTGGAAGCAAGCCGTCTTCGCCCGCCTCACACCTCTGCGCGCGCAGGGCCTCAACGTTGCCTTCGTCGACTTCGCACCCCTTTGGGATGCGGTGCTTGGGACGACACCGGGCTTCGCTGCGTTCGGATACAAGACCTCCGGCGCCTGCATCCCGAATCTGTCGCAAACAGATCTCACTGGGGAGTGCTCGACGCCCCTGAACTCGTTTTACTGGCTTCCCGGGTGAGCGCGCGTTGCTGTTTCTGTGCGGAGTTCGTCGCTGATCTTCGTAATGTGGAATAGACACCCGTCCAAAGAAACGCACCGTATCATGGCTGATTATGTCAAGCTTGTGCTGGCGAACTGTAAGGCATAATCTAAGCGTTCCCGGAGCGTTGCACTTAAACCGTGTATGTGCCATGATCGTATGAAACTCAACTGTCGTCTTGTACAGACCGGGTTGGATTGTTGTGTACTCATCTCCTTTCTGGGTTGCATCCTCTTTCCCCCCACTGCCTACGATTTTTTGCTATTGGAATATCAACAGCAATTCCGATAACGCGTTAGTCTCGGTGAAAAGGTATGACATCCACTTAGATGGCTCATGCCAGGTCATTCTCCCTTTGACGATTACAGCTAAATTATGGTGACATTCCACCGACTCGGGGACAACGGAAAATGAACAAGAATTAACTGCCACACAAACCTCTCGTACCATGCGACTAAGTAATGAATCGCCTGTCCCCAAGGATCAATATAGAAAGTGGATGACTACTCTGGATCTTGTAGAAAGTCCATGAACGATGCATAGTGAGGAGAAATCACACTATGCGGGTCTACATTGAGCACCGAATGGAGGCCATGAAGAACGAAGTCAGTTTCTCTGGACAGCAGTCCGAGGGCTGATATGTACGGGCTTTGATGTGCCTCCTGCCTGGTCCACATCGGCGTGTATCGCGCCCTCCCGCGGTCATGCAAGATTGCTCGCGAAGCCATCCCTTCCCAAAAAGAAACGAAAAAGAAACACGCCCACTCACCCTCTCCCTCACAAAGATTATCCTTTTGTCTCCACGAGTATACACAAAAACATGTGCGCCGGGAGGGTAATTAGTTTGGAGCCGAATTCAACGCCGAGCTGTGTGTGTCATCCATTCGTTAGCATTGATATATTGTAAGCGATAAAAGGACGCGAGAAGCAAAACGCACAGTAGATCCGGATACGCTGGTCCGTGAGTCGTACAAGCAGTGATGACTTGCCGACTGCGGCGCCAGGGATGATGAATTTGACTTGGAGGATATAGTGCTGGCATACGGGGCTTTCCATCTTCGTGTTCTTCCTGCAGTTGTATCATCGTTTTTCCCTTCAAAAATCTTCTGGTAAGTAGTGGACCAGTGTCGTTATATTCCAAGTTCTGGCGTGCAAAGAGCAAGTAAAGCAACCCAATAGAGCGTAGTATGCAGCTCAAAGTGAGTTCCATTCGCCTCGACTTGAAGACTTCAAAATGGGGAGATTCGAAAGACGTGCTGTGCCGAATGATGCCGCCGGCATCACGATGCCGGTCCCTCTCTGTCTTTAACTCTGTCCTTCGTGTCATCGATCCTCTGTGCAGGTGCGTACGCCCGTGTCGACTCGATGACGTAGTGGTAGCGCATTAGGACAGATATCAAGATCACTCTCGCGGAAGTCGCCGCCTCGCCGATTCGAATCCCGCTCGAGTCGTAATCAGATGTATCTATCAGAAGCCTCAGCATATCTCTCGTTCCGGGCTAGGGTTGACTCGAGGGTGTAGCGGTAACACATCACCTCAATTGGAACTGTGCATCCTGTGGAAATCGTCTGTTTGAACTTATCTCAAGTGGTGGCCCTGAGTGTCTGCTTCCCACTGCTTCGTCTTATGGATAACCACTGCTCCCAGACCGACCCTCACCTGTCCTTGCCCAGCCTCTCGCCGGTTCGCTGACATTCCGAATGCACTTTGTTGCATAGCATGCAGAACACTTCCAGGGAATACCGAAATGTATTGTGTTCACTTCATATAGGTGATGTTGCAAATGAAACCGCCCCTTCGATTCAGACCCGAATCGTGGTCGTAAACATCCAGGGGGGTCTCCTGGACGAGCGGTACTTTCAGACGAAGACTCTGTCGACTGGTTGACGATAGCGCAAAGCTATAAGTTTAACGTCCAGCGACTGGTACTTAAATGGGTTGGTTTCTGATGCGGGAGAGTAGTTAACTAATTGATGGTTCAGGGTAAATAAATATATACCACCCGTTATTTGTGCTGTCAGATATTCAATTTAGATGCAAGAGGCACAGCGACTTGGTGAGGGGACTTGGTGAGGGAATTTATCCTATCCCCTTCACATGACGCCCTAACAGAGAGGTGTTATGAGTGGAAGTTCCCCGTTCAAACCGGGCCGCGAAGTCATGTGTGGTAAACATTTTCTCCCTGCTTGCCAGGGAAGACGGAACGGAGGAGTGATAAGCCCACGCAAATCATCTTCGGTTGCTCAGATCAATTTTCCATCGGCAGGTGAGTGGTTGGTCAGACGTGGGCTAGGATCTAATCGCAGCTACACATAAATTGATACCAACTGGTTATGTTACAGTATGGTGCTAGGTATTCAGTCTAGATGCAGGCTTCCCAGAAACTGGGTGGTGAAAGGTATCATATCCATTTCTCCTGTGATGTCGAGGACACGTTGTTGAGTGGAAGTCGTCCCTTCGAAGCGGGCTCGAGTCATACCCAGCGTTAACTTCAAAGCCTGTATTTTTACGGGGCAGTGGCTCTCTAATAAAAGACTCCACCGGCTTGATAACCGCTCAAGTCTCGCGCTCCTATGCCAGCCTGGCATACCTTACCAGGGCGCATTCTTTACCGAAACTGGTGAAATCAGGACCTGACTGCATTCGGTGGAGAAACATGTCTAAACTTGGGCGTCGAAGGACTATTCCCGCGCACATGTTGATGCCCAGCTCACATGGCTGTTTGTAACGCCAAAATGATCACAACACAGCCCTTGCTTCCAAAGCACATACAATCACAATCATTTCAAGAACATCAACATAATTTCTAAACAACGTCTCTCAACCATCGGTGTCAATCGACACCCTCCGGCGTGGTTCTGCGATAATAGACCTGTCGAACGGTGAGTCGACAAACCGGACGCTTGGAACGTAGTTTCTCCACCATTTATGAGCATTTGTTGAATCCGTCGTTGAACCCACTGTTGAATCCTTCATTGAATGCATCGCCGAGGCTCCCAGTGCACTGCAACTGGCGTGCTTCCCTAACGATATCCAATCGGCCGTCAATCGCTGGAATGAGCGGGTAGAAGATATCACCGTACTCGCGCTTGCTGTTTCCAGAGGCGGCGTTGCAACCCGCAGATTCACCATCCTGGAAGCCCAAGTTGAAGCAATCGTCGAAAACGGATCTTTCCGCGCTGTGGGTCAGAGTCAGGAAGACTAGGAAGAAAGAGGGACGGTTGAAAGACTGACACGACGCCCTCAGCTGCCGGGGCGGCCGAGACGAGTCCCAGAGCGAGAGTGATGAGGAGAGCAGAGAGCTGGAATTGGAATTGCATTTCGAGTGGAATCGCTGGATAGTCAATATCGTTGAGGACCCTAGGCTTTTATAGTAGCCATTCCATAAGCTCGGGACCAACTTCCGCGTACAGCCTGAATGGGCGGTCCCGCGAGACCCGAGGATTTGAGTTGAGGAAGAGATAGATCGGGTTCCCGCATGACGACGTTGAATACATCTGGGAGATATCTGTATGGTAAGTTTACCTCTGTCGTTGGAGCTACAGAAAAGGATACCGTGAAACTCCACCCGAGATATACACGTGTTTCAACCGCGGATAGCACTTATGTGTAGATTATTATCAACGCCAAGAGGTCGCAGATCTCTGGATCTGGCCCGCCATGTAAATCTACCCGAAATGATTTACACTGTGTTGATAATTATCCACCTGAAATAGACCTATGTACGCTGTGTTGATAATTATCCGAACACAAGTGCTATCCACCGTTGAAACACCTACATATCTCGGGTGGGGTTACGGTATCCATTCCCGTGGCTCCAACGACAGAGGTAAACTTACCATACAGATGTATTCCAACTCGTCATGCGGGGACCCGATCTATCTCTTCCTCAACTCAAATCCTCGGGTCTCGCGGGGCCGCCCATCTAGGCTGTACGCGGAACTTGACCCTGAGCTGATCGAACGACCACTACAAAAGCCTAGGTTCCTCAATGATATTCATTATCCAGCGATTCCACTCGAAATGCAATTCAAATTCCAGCTCTCTGCTCTCCTCATCACTCTTGCTCTGGGACTCGTCTCGGCCGCCCCGGCAGCTGAGGGCGTCGTGTCAGTCTTTCACCGTCCTTCTTTCTTCCGAGTCTTCCTGACTCTGACCCACAGCGCGGAAAGATCCGTTTTTGACGATTGCTTCAACTTGGGCTTCCAGGACGGTGAATCTGCGGGTTGCAACGCCGCCTCTGGAAACAGCAAGCGCGAGTACGATGACATCTTCTCTCTGCTTATTCCGGCGATTGACGGCCGATTGGACATCGTTAGGGAAGCACGCCAGTTGCAGTGCACTGGCAGCCTCGGTGATGCATTCAATGAAGGATTCAACAGTGGGTTCAACGACGGATTCAACAAATGCTCATAAATGGTGGAGAAACTACGTTCCAAGCGTCCGGTTTGTCGACTCACCGTTCGACAGGTCGATTACCGCAGGATTATGTTGGAGGGTGTCGATTGACACCGATGGTTGAGAGACGTTGTTTAGAAATTATGTTGATGTTCTTTGAAATGATTGTGGTTGTATGTGCTTTGGAAGCAAGGGCTGTGTTGTGGTCATTTTGGCGTTACAAACGGCCATGTGAGCTGGGCATCAACATGTGCGCGGGAACAGTTCTTCGATGCCCAAGGTCCAGTTTCGGGAAGAATGCGCCTTGGTAAGGCATGCCAGGCTGACCTAGGAGCGCGAGATTTCAGCGGTTATCAAGCCGATCGAATGTTAAGAAATGGTGCCGGAGCCGCTCAAGCCTATAGATGGCTCGGCTCAGCTTTAGACAATGATGACTCCGTAGCCATCACAAGCCGAGTCGAGCCGGCCGCAACCGAGCCGCGGCAACACCGTACTCGGTGATGGATCCGAGATAATGGCCAAGCGGGACGTCTGGGATAACTGGCCTATCTACTATCTCCTCAACCGTATATTCATGTTTCAGATCGCATTTTTCGACTTTGATTACGTCGTAATGGAATTAATCTACATGTGGACATGGCCGCTGATCGCCGCCTTGGAGTTAAAAGCCAAAGCAGCCGCTGTCCTAGATCCTCTCCTTCCAAGCTTTTAATTATTGCGCCTCAAAGATGCGTAATCTTTCCGAAATCCGTCTCCACAGCATCACGACTTGTCTGACTTCCGTCCTTATCCTGCTCGATGAACTCCATGATTCGACGGGAGCCCCATTTCTGCCGCTTATGTCAACTACAGTTACGTCATTAATTCAGGCGATCCCGGTAAACGACGCATTGAATTAGAATTTTTCTGTCGAACTTTACAACCAGGAAATCAAGAGAAGTAAAGATGAATGCGTTCAACTGTTGGAACAGATCCATCATATACTCTATGCCATAATCAGTATTCATATAAAATCCGATAACCCCGCGTCGCTACCACCGCTGCTGTTGGAACGCATTGGGAATTTTACCCAGTGCGCTAGCTATTCGTATGGGAAGCGGGAGTAATCGATCAAACCCTCCTCGTAGAACCCTACACAAGATCTTCACGTTTATTCAAGGGCAACAGGAAGGAAGCAAAATCAAACATTGGCTCAAACAGAGCGAGATGAACACATTGCGCAAAGACTTCCGCACCGAATTGCAGCAAGTTCTGAGTGTTTTCAAGGCAAGTACTGTACTCGCAGCATCGCACTTTCGATCTTACAGCCCTTTGCAGTACCGAAGGCGCGGATCAACTTTTGTCTATTTTGGGAGGATTTCAAAGAATTCCGGATATCTCAGTGAGTTCTCTACCGATTCACATGAAAACTAGACAGAAATACTCAGCTAATTCGTGCAGAATTAGTGATAAAAAGGAAAGTGTAAAAATATTATATATTCAATAACATTGGTTGGAGGGGCTGTTTTGTAGATGAATCCAGTGTACAAGCTTCTAAACACATCCAAATGATGTAAAGTTTTGCCAGGAATTCTTTTGATGCATTTAAAAAGATGTGATAGAGTCTAATTGCCAAAAGTGTGGTTTATCAAGCTTGTAAACACATCAGGACAATGGGCAAAACACTGCAATTGGGAAATATTGCAATATCTGAACCCACAGCTGAACTTTTTGTGAATTTGACACTATCACATCTTTTGAAATGTATTAACAGCTGTCCTGAAATATATCTACGTCATTTGGATGTGTCTGGATGCTTGTAAGCTGGATTCATCCACAAAACAGCCCCTTCAACCAATGTTATTGAATATATAATATTTTTACACTTTCCTTTCTATCACTAATTCTGCACGAATTAGCTGAGTATTTCTATCTAGTTTTCATGTGAATTGGTAGAGAACTCACTGAGATATCCGGAATTCTTTGAAATCCTCCCAAAATAGACAAAAGTTGATCCGCGCCTTCGGTACTGCAAAGGGCTGTAATATGTTCCAGATTGAAAGCGATAGTATAA